TGAGTCCCTGAAGCTACCATTTTGTCAGCACTGGTATCCCTTCTAAATTGCCCTTTCATGTTGTGGCAACCATGGAAAATTTGCTTTCTAATGATAAGTTTGGAGGGCAGCCATTGAATTTGGGGCAAGCGGTAGAATCACTAGGGCAGCTTCACAGAATTTCTCACGAGCAAGAAAAGATCGGCCGGCCATGCATGTGTCACTGATAGTATCGCCCTTGATCAGCTGCTCAATCACTGCAGTTTATTATCAATTTTTATCTTCTTGTAAAACCAAGGTTTTCCATACCCGGCACAGAATCGCCTATCAAAAAGTACTTCTTCATGGTGATAGTAAGCAAACAATGAATGATATTTAAGTCGCCCACCAAAAATATATATATTAAAAAGCACTTAAGCAGAAGAGCAGTGAAATCTTGTGTCGTAGTGCTGTTACTCATACAGCTCTATGAGTTACTGGATGGGGGGGAAGGGTGTTTGCAACTGTTTTCTTTTATGATGTTCCTTTCCATACGCCACCACATTTTCTTCCAGTGAAAAATCTTTACTATGACTGAAGTCTATGGGGAATTTGCCACTGACTACTGCGAACAGCACTGGGCCCCCTATGAGGAAATGTGGCTTGCTGCGTGCATTGGGAACTACTTGGGACTCACCCTCTGCTTTTGCTATGAGCAAAGTTGCACTTTCTAAACCAAAGCGAGATCGGATGCAAACGTCCTCTTGCCAGCACAGTTACCCGCCCTTGATTTCCCCATCAGAAATGCGCCAGCAGTTGTTTTAAAAGAGACAAGAGAAGTCACGCAGAAACCAATAGGAGGAAATGTGTTCAAAATACAAAGTACCCGGTATTCATTCACCCTCCCTCCGAAAGCAGGCAGCTCGCACAGGCTGCCGCTCTCCTGCCTCTTTCCTGGGATTTACAACTAAAGATACACCCCCGGTTCAGACCCTGCGCAGCCGAAATGGCTGTGTCTGAAGACTACCCAACTCTTTCATCTTAAATCAAGCTTGACATCCGCTGAACGTTAGTGTCAGTGAGGCGGCCCTTTATTTAGGCCCAGGTAAAGGAGGAAGCCAGCTCGGGGCCGTGACTCGCTAAACAGAGCTCCTGGCTCCTTTCATGGGAACTTCTGGTTTAGTTTGGCGGGGTTTTGTACCTCAGCTCTGCCCTTAAAAGTAAGCTGGGAGTAAGAGAAGCTCATTTCATTTCATTAAATCCCCCCAGGTGTAGGGTTGTGGGGAGAAGTCTAGCCCTGTTGTCTCATCACCCGGCGGCCTTGCGCAGGTCGCGGGTGGGAGAGCGCGCTGCTGCCTCTCCTGACCCGCGCCAGCGCCGCACGTGTGTCCGCGCGCGGTCTTACCCGTGCAGGAGTGCAGCGGCTTGGGCCGGACGAGGAGCGACGGGCAGACGGAGTAGAGGGAAAGTTTCTCGAAGTAGTCGCAGGTCTCCTTGGACAGGATCTCGTCGATCATGAAAGTCTTGTAGCGCCGCCTGGCTGCCTTGAGCTGCCCGGGGGCGCTGAGCCGCAGCTCGGCGTGGCAGTGCATGGTGCCGCCGCCCGGCCCGGCCCGGCCCGGCCCGGCCCGGAGCCCTGC